GAGAGAGAGAGAGAGCGAGGGAGAGAGAAAGAGAGATTGAATTTAAGGAATTGGTTCACTTTATTGGGGGGACTGCTGGTAAGACTGAAATTTGCAAGCCAGAGTGGAAGGCTAGAGACCCAGGGAAGAGTTGATTTTGCTGCTCACGTCAGACAGAATTATCAGAATGACCTCTCCTTGGGGGAAGACACTCTTCATCTATTAAGGCCTTAAATAAGTTGGATGAAACCCACCCACATTTTAGAAAGTAATCAGTTTTACTCAAAGTCTACTACTGACAGAAATGTTAGTCACTTCTAAAAAGTACCTTTACAGCGACATCTAAACTGGTTGGTGTTTGACCAAATATCTGGATTTCTTGGTCTAGCCAACTGGACACATAAAATTAACTGTAATACTCATGGTTCTTAATCCTAAGTGCTATGCTCTTCCTGTTATAAATAAGGTCTTAGGACCCACTAGGAGAGAAAGGACAGGGTATATGTGGCATGTGGTTTACCTAACACTCATTCTTCTCTCCTCCTTTCTAACAAAACATAAAATTTCTGTGTGAAGGCCAATGAGCCAACCTAAAATATTAAACTCTTAAATTATTCCTAGAGCTACTCTAGGCCAGTGAAATATATGTAGAGGTTATTGCATGAAATTTTGGGAAAGCTTTTTAAAGGAATGAGCTGATTCAACTGGTATGTGCCTCCTCCCCCCAACCCCACCCCACCTCCTTTCTGTCCTGGCCTTTTTCCTGTCCTTTTTCTTGCCTGGGATTTAGACCTGGTGACTGAAGCTAGAACATGAATCTTGTGATCACAAATGTCAAGAGGATCAGACAACTAAGTCCTAACATTTTTGAGCTGATGTAACTATCTCCAGATTTCTTATTACATGAGCAGTTGAAAATATATCTTTTTTTAAAGCCTGTATTAATAAATGCAGTCTAAAGCATTAATTGATATGGACAAGGACACAGATAACTACAGGGAAGATCTTGAAAACTGAGCAATGATGAAAATTTTGAAACTGTGCCTAAGGAAATAAGGCAGAAGAAACAGCGTTGAAATAAGCTAGACATGGTCTCATTTACTGCTTGCAATAAGCATCCCAATCTTTTTTTTTTTTAAAGAGGTAGAGCCATTTGTTCAAAGCCACACAACTAGTAAAAATGTCAGAGAGTTCTCATTTTCCCTGAACTATATTACCAGCGTAAAAAAACCCAAAAAACAAAAACCTATAGAAAGATGATAATTCTTTGCACTACCTCAAGTAGTTGGGGAAGTATAGGCGAGAGTTAACACCTGGGGCATTTCAGGCACATCCAACCTTATTTGAATAGATCCATTATCCAAGTTAGCAATGAATACCTGGGAGCCGAGAAACTTTGGTGGTAAAATAACCAAAGGAAGTAAAAAAAAAATAAAAATCAGCATTTTAGTTGAGCAGTTTTTCAAAACTATGTGCAGAAATATTGCTTTATACGACAGCATTTATAAGAATGGTGGATTCAATTTACAGTGACCCAGTTAGGAGAGCCCGCGGCCAGCATGATAATGAAACCAGCTTCCTTCGCAGTCCTTGCAGTCCTGGCCCTGGGTCCTGTACCTTTTTGTGGTTCTTTGTGATTTGGCAACCATACACGTGTGACTCTCCAAAAAGGCAGGGAAGGGTAAAGGAGCTGTTTGGTCACTGTTTAATCATGAAACACTTTTCCTCCTCTTACCCAACAGGACAATTATATAAGAAAAGACTGCTTTCCGTACTCAGTACAATAAAGCACTACATTTTAAAACCGTTTTTTCTTTGATGGTTCAATGACTTTGTTTTTTAAGTTACAATATTCTGGAAGCTGAAAATACATTAAATCTTCAGGTACTATGAAAACCACAAAAGTTCTAGAACTTTCATATGAGACATTCGAGGTATGCTCCATTTTTCCCCCCAAACGAACTAATTTCTGAATGTTTATTTAGAAAACAGTAATAATTACAAATATGACAGACACAACCCTAAATTTTCCAAATCTCCTCAGAGCACACATACATTATTCAACATTTAGTTCTTTAAATTCAAGACTTTTATGTGTGAGAATTCATAAACAACTTAGTTTTACTATATTTTAATGTTCTAAAATAGCACTGTAATCTTGTAATACTGTTACTATGTTTAAACTACATAAATATATCTATTAAAATAAGGTTAAGTTTTAAAATAATCTATTTTTTACATGCAAACAAATTTTCTGATTATATTCAAAGATTATTTGCATACTTACACAAAATTAAAAATAGCTTGAAAACTCAGCATTCTTAAAAAAGAAATATCCTCTAATGGCCCCTTTCAGCATCTTTAGTCCATAGCACAGTACCTGGAATATATTTTGTACTCAGTAAAATTTAGAAAACTAGCAAACTATTGAACCACTATGAATTACTTTATTATCTATTAAAAACTTATATTGATGTTGGAGAGAATATAGGAAATTTTAAAAATGATAATCTACAATACAGCATAAGTAAAAAATCAAATTAATCAAAGGTTAGGACCTATTGGTTATAGGACATTTTGAGATGTAAGGCTATTTTAAAGTATCCCATGAATATCAGCAGTATAAAATCCTGTGGTTTTTTTGTTTGTTTGTTTTTTGCTAAACATTTTATGTCCTAAACTGGTAACCTCTGAATGGAAAATTATTATTATTATTATTATTATTATTTTTTTTTAGTGTTAGTTATATTTACCTTAGTACATATTTTACATCTGTCAGTTGGGAACAAATATGTTCACATATACATGTAAACTTTGCCTGGGACACTCGCTCTTTTTTTTTCTTTCCTTTCCTGGTTTCCATTCACAAAAGCACATCCCTTCTTCCTTCTCAAAAGGACAACTCTACTTGTCCTTCTCCCCCCAAGCAGAGCTGGGACCAGATGACATTGTTGCTCCCCACTCTCACCCAGGCTTCATGGTTCTGCAACAGCAACTCACCAAGACCTTCTCCTTTGGAGCCCTTATGTGGTTGGTGCTTTCCTTGCAGCTTCTATTCACTAAAACACCTCCCACAGTCTCAGTGTCTACAACGTCAACATCTGGATTGAACTCTCTCTCTTATGCTGGAATCCCTCCAACCCCCTCGGCCCAGTTGTTCACACTAGCAGGGATACCCTAGTTCAGTGATGGTGAACCTTTTGAGCTCGGCGTGTCAGCATTTTGAAAAACCCTAACTTAACTCTGGTGCCGTGTCACATATAGAAATTTTTTGATATTTGCAACCATAGTAAAACAAAGATTTATATTTTTGATATTTATTTTATATATTTAAATGCCATTTAACAAAGAAAAATCAACCAAAAAAATGAGTTCGCGTGTTACCTCTGACACGCGTGTCATAGGTTTGCCATCACTGCCCTAGTTGTCACTCAAAACGGTCCTTCATGATAAATTCTGGAACCTGCCTCTCAGTCCACAATAGCCATCTCACGTCATGAGTTTCCACACTCCTATGGAATCTGTTGCTTTGTCCCCATTGTGACTATTTCTAAGCCCTTTGAACTATACTCAGGTATGAAAAATCACGCTATCTCCTTGGCCTCATTACCCACTTAAAGATCCCATAATCACTTAAACTTATCTTTCATTACCCCTTTACCTTATTCCCCAATCCTGGACACATTCCACAGTCTATTTTCTCCACTCAGGAGAAAATGTGGCTCCAGGATGTCACACGGTGATGTGTATGGGATGGATGTCACACAGTGATTTGCAGTGTATTGCAGGGACTGTTAACATATGCCCCCTGGCCTCAGATGGGTTTTCAGTGTTGTTCAGTAATATTTGTGATGTCACTGGTTTATATTCTATTGACTTCACCATTGCTTGTGATCAACCTAAAACTTACTCTTGACTCTCTCCCTCTCAGCAGGTGACCATTACACTCCTTTCATTAAGAGGATTTAGGCTGATTAACATAAATCCTCCATGTTTCTCTTATGACATCAAATGGTCTCATCTCAATTATCCTTTTCTTTCTTTCTCTTGTTTTAGAAGGAAAGAGACCTTTCCATTTTCCTTGCTAAACCACACCACCTATGTTTTTTGAGCCCAATTCTTCCCATCTCCTGAACACACTGCTTTCTCATTCTTTTAATCGCCCCTCATTTGCTTTGTTTTTTTTTTAAGTTAATTCCTTTCTTCTCCTTTGTAAATGTAGGCCAAAATTATCACCAAAACAAAGCAAACTTTCCTTATTATTGCTTTCAACTTAAAAAGCCATAACTTTCTCTTTTATTTCATAGCCTTACTCATTTAAAAGGTAGTCTGTTCTTTCTGCTCCCTCTTCCTTCCCTGGCGTTCTCTCTCTTCAGCAACTCAGAGTCCAGACTTCCCCTCACTGGTCTATTGGAAAAGTTTCCTCCCAGATAACGACACAAATCCCATATCCAGTGTATCTCCCTAAACCACTCTTAACTTTTTAAAAAATTGATTTGAGAGAGAGAGAGAGAGGAGAGAAACATTACTTTGTTGTTTCACATATGTATGTATTCATTGGTTGTTTCTTGTATGTGCCCTGACTGGAGATCAAACCCACAACCTTGGCATATGGGGACTATGCTCCAATCAATTGAG